TGAGTCTATAAAACAACTTTTTTCTCAGAGTCCAAGATGACCTCTTTAAATGTCTTGTTTTTCCCCAAACAATGAGTTCAAAATCCCAAATAATGTGTCTTACATTGATATTAAAAAAATAATGTATGTTGCCGGAAAAAGAACCCAAAAGCAATCATAACAGTTGGTTTGTTTTCTGTTGACTGTCTAACTAATAAATCAATTGATTTCAGTTAAAGCCGAATGCAAAAACTGTATTTTGGTCAAATGTATTGTAGGAAAGAGCAGTTAGGGATGTAAAAGTTTAAATATCACTGCATGGACATTAAAAGTACGGTATCTATCAGTACATCCAGACTCTCTCTCCAATACATTAGCAGATGGAGGGATTTAAGTAAGACAACGGACCCACAGATCTAACAGAAGGACACCAGCTGGAGACTGATATACGTCACAGACTGACCGACATGGAAAAAGAAGAAAAGTTAAAGTTAAAGAGAACGAAAGGTTGCCAAATGGCTGTCAGCTGGTATTGACTAAACTATGTCGCTTTTCAAGAAAAAATACTGACAGTTGTTAATCCATGAGAAAGCCTGAAGCACCAGATATGTTTTGCTAATGAACGAGCATCCACTAGCCTAACATAGGATGTGAGGTTGACATTTTTCAAGCAAAAAAAATGGAAGATGAGCTTTTTCTAGCCTCTCAAAACTAGAGGATTTGAAATAGATGGTAGTTAATTTAATAGCTTGTGGCTGTTGCTCGGAAAAAACTATCAAGGGTAAAGGTCACCTTGTTGCTTTAGGAAATTCAGTTTGGCATTTTGTCTTATATGTCATGGAATAAATTATAAAACAAGTAAATAATCAGCCTATTGTTAATGACTTATGTTAACATTAATATTATTGATTTACAATTGTTAGTATCTATTCTAATAGAGAACAACATGGTGTGTGTTTTGCCAGTAACCCCGGAAACTAAAAACATAGGAATCATTTGTTTGTAAATGAACCTTAAGATTAGTGTTAAGCTCATATAATAGACAACAAAATATACAATCTAAGACTAATTAAACTAGAGTTATTTCAGTGTGAAGGCTCACCACTGTGAATTCCCAGGATAGAGGGTGACCAGCAAGGTGTAAGGCAGCAAGTGAATTAGCAGCTCCGAGGTTTACTGTGTCCAACTCACCAGGGGATAAGTTACATGGCTATACAGTCACTGTGTGAGGCAGCGAGGGTTACAGTGTGTGTGTGTGTGTGTGTGTGTGTGTGTGTGTGTGTGTGTGTGTGTGTGTGTGTGGTGCAGAGGAGGATTACCTCAGGAATGGATTTAACAAAACGGATGCCATCGTTAGCTCCCTTGATCTTAATCAGGCAGTCGCAGAAGTAATCCCAGTAGTCTTTTCTCTGACCAAGAAAGGTTGTCTTCTCTTTTTGGTCAAACTAAGAAACAAACATTACTTCATTATTGCATTGCCTAACAATGTCATCAGCAATATGCATTGTAAAACAGGTCTGTCTGACACTGCCGGGTACAATTGTGATTAATAGGATTTCTATGAACTTCCTACATGTTTCCATTTCTTTCTAGCACTCTGCCCCTCTCTGGGGTCAAGACTTCTCCAAACGGTCATCAGATATTACTATACTTATTTTATTATATTTTTGAAATACTTAACCTGGCATGATCTTTAACATATTAAACATTCTGTGTTAAATGAAACCCTCACAACTGCAGTGCTTTATTTTAAGGCTTCANGTGTGCCTTGGCAGTCTCTCTGGGGTCAAGACTTCTCCAAACGGTCATCAGATATTACTATACTTATTTTATTATATTTTGAAATACTTAACCTGGCATGATCTTTAACATATTAAACATTCTGTGTTAAATGAAACCCTCACAACTACAGTGCTTTATTTTAAGGCTTCACAACCAAAAAGGTTTACAAATCACTAGAGCACTGGTTCCCAATCTGTTTTACTCGTCGCCTTTTTGAGCAAGAAAATGATTAGTCGCTTTCCCTGGTTAATATTTGAGATATTGAAAATTCAAAAGTAAAAAGTTATTTTAGGTTATTTCGTTTAAACGGTTTGAAAAGATGCACTCATGAGTATTTTCTCAACAACAAATCAATGAAAGAGGTTCTATCTATCTACGAGATATTTATTTTAATCATCTTACAACTGCTTGTTAGATTGATATTCTCTGCCTTTTAGAGGTTCACATCCCCAAGTACAAGCTAGTGGTAGAGTCAGAAGAGCAGTGCTGGTCAAATTGCAAACACAAGCTGTATAATCTTGAAAAACCCTGAACAAACGTTGGTGGTATACGATTCCATACCTGGAGCAGGTATTCAAGTTTATAGAAGAACTTGTGCAGGTTGGCGCTATCATCAGTTACCGGTTCACCACAGTCGTTGTGTTCCTTACTCAACTCTAACACAGAATCTAAACAAGACAGTAACAGCATTGTTAATACATAAATACACAATTATCAAATGATTTCCTTGTGTGGAATCTGTTTTTGATCAATATGCGCACATTTTATGATCGCCTTATCAGTAATAGATGTTTATAAGGCAAAAAACATGTCCTGATATCTAAATGTTGTAATAATCCTGGGAGCACGATGCATATGCCTACTTCACATGTAAAAAAGACAGGCTGCCAGAAACATATGACGCAATATACCGTCACGGTGTTTATGTGAGTCAGTGTGAACATGTTGTTTACCATGCAGATCTCTAATTATCCTCTGCAGTTGATTATCTCCAACTGATGAGGAGGAGGCCATTCTGGGGAAGGGGCAGTGACGTCAGCAAATTCTGCATTTGGGATTGGAAAAAGACAGTGTCATTTATGTTTCGATATTACAGGAAGGTCCTAATGATATGAACAATGTTCCTTGTGTCATCGAAATGTCAAGGATGTACCTTTGTTCCTCAGAGTATGAATAAAGCATTTGATAGTATAACTAAGGAAAGCTGTTGCCAACAGGATTTCAACTTTCCATCCGGCAAACAGTTCAGGTAAATAAAATCACATTATAACAGACTGGGGGACTGTGAACAAACACACCTCAACCCCTCAAAGACTATAAGCACCATTTTTATTGCATCTATGGTTACTTTTAGCATCTATTCATGAACACATAGTTATATTTAAACTTGTGTAGCTTTGTTTATTTAAATGTGATAGTGTGTTAAGTGCTTTGTCATTGCTGCTACCTCTGCTCTTATCACTGCTTTTATTTATTTGCCGTCCATTTCTATTACTGCAGTGAGAGATACCAACGCAATGGTGTTGTACCTCTGTATGATGACAATAAAGATATTCTGATTCTAAACATTAAAATAGTACTTTCCTAAATGTGCACACCACTGCTGCTTATCACTTACATAAACACATGAATACACTCTATCCAAACCCCAGAAGCCTTTAACAACTGAGGCAAATTAAACAATCCAGAGAGGGTTAATTCATGTGTTAAAATAAGAAAGCACAGTAGGTCAGTCAAGTTAGCAAAACCGTACAGTCTGTGAGAGGAGGTACAACATGTACATCACGAGGATAGGGGAAAGCGTATCACTGTTTCAAACCCGACTGACACCAAATGTAGGCTGTATATAGTGTTATACACCGTCCCCATTACAAACTAGAAACATTGCATCACTTAAAACCGCTTTAAAATGCAACAAATCGCCACACAAAGCTAGATAGTCAAAGCTGGTAGCTATCCTACATGCACCTGTTCTCAGCTCTTCATTTCCTTCTCGTATTTAATGTCAATGATGTTATAAACCATCGAGTTTTGGTTGTAAGCAAAGCGACACACTTCAATGTTCAATAAACATTAACATAATAAACGTACTCGATGTGTAAAATGTTCCAGTGTCCAGTTTGTAGGTGATACAGCAGAAACGTGCTAGGCGTAGAGGGCGGGCACTGTGGGTGATTGACAGGCGTGATGGACAAATAGACAGCGTCTGCTGCTGCTGAAGTCCGTCATAGTTTGGTTGAGAGACAAATGGTAAATAAACAGAAACCTGAGAAGAGTAAAGTGCTCATAGAGATCTAAATATATAATAAAATGTACTTTAAAAATGAATTGGGGAAAAATGTATGCTTTGTATTTGGTTTGTATTTTTATTGTGTTGTGTTTTAATCCTTTGTTTTATTTTATCCACAAAGTAAGCCTATGAAATAATAATTGACAAACTAAATAATTAAAGGTCTAAACTGTTTTTTATATGCACAAAATATTAGGTTTTATAAATGTTATTTATATTTTATTGTTATTTTGTATTTTATTTTTTGTCTCCACCTTAACTGTTAACATAGTGTTGTTAAGAGCAGATATTTTATGTAAATGTACAAAAGATAGTTGCATACTGGAGAAGAAAAAGAAGAAGAAGAAGAAGAAGAAGAAGAAGAAGAAGAAGAAGAAGAAGAAGAAGAAGAAGAAGAAGAAGAAGAAGAAGAAGAAGAATCTACAGCTAACTGTGTAGATATCATAGAAAACATATTTAATACATTTGTGTTTTCCCATGATATGTTAGTCTATCGTCAAAAGTAAATTGGTGCAATAGTATAATGAGCTTTTTTCCTATTGTTTGGATTGTTGATTAGTATTTTAAGTCATTTCTGAAAATTGAAATTGTGAATTTATGTAAGTTTTCTGTTTTAAATCATTCTTTATTAAATGTATATTTGTTGGACTGTTGGTCAGATAGATCAACGAAATTAAGGATGTCATACTTGACTTTAGGAATGCTTTATGTTACAATTTTTAAAAGTTTAAATAAGAAATCCACACTTGGGACTATGCCGTTTGTGTCATTGTGGAACAAGTATAATACCAATACAATACACTTCTGAAAACAGTGAGGTTTACCAAAAACAAGTACTGAACATGTCTCGTAACGTGATCGAAACCAAAATGCCCAGCTCTGACATCATCTCTGTTCACCTTTGGGTTTCATACTTAAGGAACAATTCCCTATTCCAGTGATATCTGCACGAAGGACGTTGGTGTTTGCAGGTACAGTAAATTGCCACATTTCTCAATTTGTTCTAGACGGATTCATTATCATTTTTTAATAATATCTCAAATGATGTCTATATAATGTTTTTTAGTTTAAGTAACATTTTGTTTTTACTTAAAATGTTTGTCTTTTTTTATTTCATTCGGTCACTTTATATAAAAAAAACCTGGACATTGAAGTATGAATATTTGAACGCTCATTCAGCACAAATCATTTATAAAATATATTTACCTTCTCCCTTTCCTTTAGTGGGCAGAGAATTTCTTTGGGGGGTATATTTAGAGGCACTTGTCAATTGAGAAGTTAACATGTTTCTAGTTGCGAAGAATAGTTATTAAACTGTCCAAATTTAAGACTGTTGATCATTCAAAATATAGAAACATTGTGAATGATGAATGAGGTTGTATCTTCCTGGTCGAATGTACTTATTGTAAGTCGCTTTGGATAAAAGCGTCAGCTAAATGCAATGTAATGTAATGTAATGAATGATAAGAGCCTGTTGCTGTTGAAATCTGTAATTTGGGTAAAGTGATGCTTTTGAATATACGAGATAAAACATGGAAATAAAGGAAGTCATATATCAAGAGAATGTTATTAATCTATGGACATATCACACTATGAAATGACTAATTTATCTGTAAAAACTGTTTTTACAATGTTATGTATCATCTAATTTCTTATAATTAAGTCTGTTTAACCCCCTTTACTTTACACAACCCTTTTTTCAGACTCTCTACTTGCTGAAACTTGCTGAAGGAATATGGCAACAACTGACTCAGCCTATAACCTAACCACATACGATGATTCCTACTATGATTACGATTATGAGGATGAAGTGTGCAACAAATCAAGCATCGTTCAGTTTGGAGCAACCTTGACTCCAGTGGTCCTCTCCATTGTGGTCATCCTCAGTCTGTTTGGCAACATCCTGGTCATCGTGATTCTGGCAAAGTATGAGAATCTCAAATCTCTCACCAACACTTTGATCCTAAACCTGGCCATATCGGATCTCTTCTTCACCGCAGGTCTGCCCTTCTGGGTCTACTATCACATGTACGGATGGACTTTAGGCCAACTTGCATGCCAGATAGTCAACTTTTTATTCTACGTTGGTTTCTACAGCAGTGGGATCCTCCTCATCATGATGACTGCTCACCGTTATGTAGCCGTCATGAATCCTCTGTCTGACATTGTCTCCACCACAGGCTCCTACAGTGTTATAGCGTGTGTGATCATCTGGGCAGTGAGTATATTGATTGCCAGTCCAACCTCCGCCTTTTCCAAAGATGACCAGAATCACTGTGTGTGTGAAAATTCTTTCTGGTGCTTATTGGGAATCTATCAGCAAAATGCTCTCTTCATTGTGAGTTCAGTGGTGTTTATTTTCTGCTATTCTCAGATCATCTGCAGGTTGCTGCGGCCTACTGCTCGAAGAAGAAAGAGCAAAACTTTAAAACTCATTTTTACCCTTATGGTTGTTTTCTTTGTCGGCTGGGGACCTTTTAATATAGTGATATTTCTAAAGTCATTTAATTACTGGCCCAAAACATCTGCTGACTCAAAGGATCTATTGGAAAATTGTGAATCATCAAAGCCACTCGATTACGCCTTTTACATTAGCCGACTTCTGGCTTTTTCCCACTGCTGCCTCAACCCTGTGTTTTATGTGTTTGTGGGGGTTAAATTCAAAAACCACCTGAAGAAAATGCTGAAGGGCTGGGGACAAAGCAACAACGGCTTACGCAATAGGCATAGCCGACTTACAATTACATCCATAACAAGTGGTGAGGAACTTTCTATTTAGTTGATATGGAGAACAGAGGTGAAACCCGAACTTCTAAACCAGAAAAGAGAACATCTAAAATCCTATTGACATTTGATTTAGTTGTATCTGGGTAGAATTCTCCTGATCAGATACTCAGCATAAGCTCCCCCCCCCTTTTTATTTTTATTTTTTATAAAGCTTTAGACCCAGAATCAGCACTTCTAACAGGGCTGACATAGAGGGATACGAGAGATGTCTAAAATGCATGATCTGTTTGGTATTTTGTGCAAAACGCATCACAGACATGTTTTTTTATATATTTGTATATATCTGAGACCCATAATATATGCCTAAAGATAGCATGATAGGAGAACTTTAAATTATCTATCCTAGATTTGGGACAGGGGGACAAATGCAAATTAATTTAGCTTCATTAGCTTTTTAAGTTGGTTCTAAAAATTGTTCTAAAAATGATATGTGTTGTACATTATTTAATCAAACATGTAAACCAATTCCATTTATTTCCCCCTTTAAATTTCCAATCAAGTTTTGTGCTTCAAAAAAAATCAGCTCTGTATCAGTTGGTAAATATTAATGTGATTTCAAATTCATGTTGATACATTGATTATAAATTGCACTGTAGATAATATGTGAAACACTTCTTCACTGCATTTTACTTAGAGGAGACCTATCATGCTATATTTTAATAATATACCATAGGCCATACCCATAAGGTATATTTATACGTTTTTTGTTTCAAATATACCAAACAGATCATGCATTTTTGCCATGCCTCATTTTGCTCTATTTTCCTCTCCTCCACCCTGTCTTTGCATGCGCTGCAGCTGACCACGCCCCCCTGCAAAGGAGGGGGCCGAGTTACGAGTGTCATGTTACCATGCTGTTACCATTCCACGGCAACCTCTCATTCCCCTGATTGGTGGAGAGTTGGCCATATAGGCAGAGCTCCTCGTCACTGACGTCACACTATTTTCAAATCTGGATCAGTCTGTATCAGATCCGTTGCAGCCCCGTTTTTAAGAGATTTGGGTATGGAGGAAAAGAGAGACGGTTGTGTTTTCTGACACTTGGTGAGTTCCCTGACACACCGGAGACACATATTCATGTATGAAAGACGTACAAAAGTGCATTTTGCATGATAGGTCCCCTTTAATGGTTTCATATTAAATAATCTATCTCAGTTGTTACTGTAGTTGTTATATTGTCACCTTTAGGAGTCTTGCAAACAAAACAGAACATCATTTATTTTCAAAATGTTATATAATTTGTCAAAAATGTGTGTTTATATTTGCTTGAACATTTCATCATCATCACTATTATTTCCATGATACAATCAAATTGATCAAAACATATGTCTAGGTGTATCCTTCCTTCCTGCTGTTTCGAGATTATGTTCTAAAGCAGAACATCAACGATATACACGTCACCAATTTTTGCTAATCTTAAAATATTCATGCCTTCACTGGAATGATGAGGCATCACCTCTGAATAATATGAAGCCAAAGGAGGAGCTTCTTCATTAGTTTCCTCTTTTATTGAACAACTTCTCCGTCACAATGAAACTCAGCACATGAAGTGACAGTCGTTGTTCAGGGTAAGTTGCTTAATATTTACTGTAATTGATTTATATTTAATGGTGATGTTCTAACTTTATAATTGTTTTCCATATTGTTCTGTTTTTCTAGGATTTACTTTTTAAAACAAAATTTTACTGAAGGTTAAAGACATCTGCTCAATTTGCCAATTACATTTTTCTGCTTATGTTTCCCAGAAAACAACTTACAATGGCATTCAACAACTCCACAGTGAACATTGGAGGTGAAAACTATAGCTCTGAAGACTGTGAGAGGGTGTTTGACTTGAACACTTTTGGAGGCTCCTCATACATTTTGATCTTCATCCTCAGTATCATAGGAAACTGCCTCCTCTTATATGTCCTCTTTCTCTATGAGAACTTAAAAAATGTCAAATCTATTCGTCCTGAACCTTGCCTGCTCCGATTTGATGATCACAGTCACACTTTCATTCTGGGCCGTCTATTGGCTGCTGCAGGACTGGGTCTCTGGTCATGTTGCCTGCACATTTGTGTCTGTGACAGAGATTGTTGGTGTGCACAGTAGCATCATTCTTCTGACTGCCATTACTTTGGACCGTTTCATAACTGTGGTGCTGCACAACATGCCAAGAAACAAAGTAAGGAGGCAGAGGTTTGCAGCATTGAGCTGTGCAGCTGCATGGATCATCAGCATTTCTTTTTCTATACATGTTGCTACTACAGCCACGGTGAAAGACAGGGGTGGTCGTTCCGTGTGTTCAAATCATGTGGACTTTGGTTTTCATCTTGCAGTGTCTCTGCTCTTCTTCTTCCCGTTATCAATAATTGTTTTCTGCTACTCTGCCATCCTCAAGACAGTGTTGCAGGCTTCAAACAGAAGAAAGCACAGGACGGTAGTGGTGGTGTTATGTATAGTTGCTGCCTTCATCATCTGCTGGGTACCTTACAATATTTTGTTTATAATCGTGTCGTTCTATAAACCTAAAAACTGTTATGCATCGAACCTTGTGTATATAGCCTTTATTATTTGTCATATACTTGCTCATTCTCACTGCTGTATGAACCCTATTCTGTATATGCTCTCAGAAAAGTGACGAAAGCATCTTTTGGATATTTTAAGCTGCAAGAAAGTCGGGAGGGTGAGAGACAGGAAGAGAACCACTGGCTCTCCTGTTAAGCAGAACGTAGCTTTTTTTTTTTACTTTGTTTTTATTAAACAAAGGAAAAAAAACACAAACACCTTACATCACTTTACAGCACATCAGTATCTGAAACAGGTCTGTCATTAATTGTAATTGGGCAGTCAGAGCCTCCATCCCATATACCTCCTTTAATTTTAGTTTCCATTGTGCCTATGTAGGTGGTTGTGGCTTCCTCCAATTCAATGTTACCATTTTCCAAGCAGTCATCAGGAGTATATGCTACAGGTATTTCTGGTTTCTATTACATACATCCNGAGGAGAGGTTTACAAAAAACGTAATAGAACTTAACCAAGTCCATCACTACGAGGTCTCTCAGCATGCGCTTTTTGGTGCTGGGAACCCATTTTCGGATCCACACCAGTCTTGGCCTCCTGATGTCGGAGAGGCGGACCTTTTTGTACTCGTCTTTGAGGTCCCAGGTGCGGACGGGGAAGCTCATCGCTCCAGCCACCATATCAGTCAAGCAAAATGGGGTCCCTGGAGGACCTAGGCCACGGCGACGGCCACAAGAGTAGCCGGGATGGTGTTTTGGGATCACAGTCAAAGTATCACTCAACGGCACGTTATCCCTGGCCAACCAAAGAATATGTTTTTTTGCACGACTCGCTTCTACATTTGAAGTCCTCCAGCCATCGTAAGGGAGCACAAAGCGTCATCTGTCTCGGTGTACCTGCTTGCTTGATTCAGAATTCGATTTCTGAGGCCTTTTTACCGACTTCTTGATGACGCCCCTCCGCCCCCTCTTGTGTCATCCCGCCAACGGGGCTTTCTTCAAGGGGTTGCCGACCACGCCCCTGGAGTGAGACCGCTCCTCGGGTCTCTTTTTGTCCCCATGGTGGGGCGGAATGGATTCCTGGCGGGCCCCACCGGTGCTGCTCACGAACCTTGGAGCGGATGGTGTTTCCACCACTGTTCCCTATGCAGGAACTTGGTGGTATTTTCGCCGCTGCCGGATCGGCCGCGAGCGCTGGCACCCGCCTCTCCTCGTGGTGGTCGGTTGTGGCACTCCTTGTCGTTGGGCTGGTACAGCGGGCCTCACGGGAACATTAAAAGAACCTATATTTTCCATTGAAGGCACAATATCTTTTTCAAATTCAACTCCAATTATGGATTCAGGGTCAGCCTCAAAAAGACATATCTCTTTTATTTCTTTGTTATTAACTGCCAGTTGTAGAGGGACCGTATGCGGCAATCTCCTTCATGCCTCATGCCGCTTAAAGAGCCCGCTTCGTGCAGCCAAGCTTTGCCACACCGCGCAGATTATGTGGTTGCCAATGATCGAATTTATTGCGGCTGCTTAGTGATATCTCCGACCATTCAGCTTAAAAGAAGTGGATACCCTTGCCGATATAAGTGATCGAATCATTTGTCGAAGCATCGTGGGGGAATTCCTGGTGGATCATTTTTGAGTTCGGTTTTGGGGGGGAAGCCGGAAGTGATGATGCGTCAATGCCGACTGGTGGAACGCCTTCACTGTGCGGGCGGAGCACCGAGAACCGAACTACGGGACAACGAGGTGTTTGTCATGCGTAGAAATGCGTGAATTACCTGGACGTTTTAGGCCACGTTAATACTTTTATGAAGTTGATTACAATATATTCATATTTGCTCGCTGCTTTCATGTCATTTGGGCGGAACCGTAAACATAGAAGAGGAAAATGATGTGGTGCAAGATGATGATTAATTTAGATTACAAGAAATCGAGTAGTGAGAGCTGCTGCATTTCCCCGATCGGATGTGAGTATTAAAAACAAAATCGATTATTTTGTGTAGTTGTAAACTCAGTGGCATTGGAAACTACATTTATTAGTGCTTTCATGTCAATTCGGCGAACATATGATACATTAAATGATCGTGAGGATGATGATTTAAAATCGTTTGTTTGAGCCGGTCTGCATTTCCTGATGAAAAAACAAACAGATGCTTTTTGTAGTTGTATTACACCAACATGGACTAAACGTGTGGTTTTTTGTTGGGGAAATTAATGGATAAAATGCACGGATTATGATTGTTATTATTATTATTATTATTATTATTCCCACTCTGATCGGGACACTAGGTCCAACGTTTCCCCGCAGCGAGGCTCCCCCCGTTGACAGTTTACGTGGGCTGGGCTGGGTGCAGTGGCGGACTGGCCATCGGGACGAATCCCGATGGGCCGGTACCGAAGTGGGCCGGTCGGATAAGTCACTAGCACATCCCCCACTCCCCCCGTTGACAATTTACTAGTGGTACCGAAGTGGGCCGGTCGAGAGTCCCGGGCTGATTTTTAGTCCCAGTCCACCACTGGCTACATGACCGTATGATCGCCCATATTGACGCACCTAATTCCTAAACTTCTAACAGATACAACATAAACCGATCCTTCAGCCTCATATGAGCTCTCAGACACGTTCAAAATTAAACTGTCATCGCTGTCTGAGCTTGCTGCTGTGTGCGCCATCGTGCGTTTGCATGCAGATGCTGGGATCCGGAACGGTGAAGCTGGAGCTCTTGGCCCGCAATGACGTCACACATAATTTGGCGGGACTTGAAGAATCCCCAAGAAGATCCAGAATATGGTCAACATTGAAGGGCAGATTAATGGTTATCAAAGTACAAATATCCCAAATTAGTTCAGTAACGGTTTCAAGGGGACAATATTTACTCAAATTGATGGGTTTGGATGATGGGTGAAACCTGTGTCACGGGCTCTTAACATGAGTTCATCTTTAGGGAGCAAAACTAATTGCAACCTTCATTTCTGACAACCTTGCACCGGCTTGCCATTTTAATTTTGAAGCTGACAGGAGAGTGAAAGCGGTTCTTAGCATGTAGTTATGGAGCACCCATAAAGCACAGCAGCAGCTCGTTTCACCCCTCCTGTAGTGCAAGGTCAACAGAAGTTTAAATGTTTATCTTCAGACATTTTTACAAACCTTCTCCTCTGCCAAGGCCAGCAGTTGCTGCTTGGCTTTCTCCACCTCTTCTACAGGTCCTCTGATGGTGACCTTATCAATCCCTGAGCCCTCGGTGGGAAAGTGGATGTGCACACCGCCACACTCCTCCATGATGGAGCGCACAAAGCGGCCCTTCGACCCAATCAAGGAGTTGTGCAGCTTGGAGGGAATGGACACCTCGAGCTCAGTGATGTTAGCCTGGACACAGGGAGACCTTCATTTAGCACAGGAACCAGATTTGGACACATGTGCCAAAGCTTTGGAAGGACTAATAAATGTTAGATATTGGCAATATATAATCAATATATTCAATGTTCTGCTGCATATGTAAATGTACATATATTCTCACTATTCTTTAAGATGCCGACCCATTAAGAATGTGTAAATACTGATTTCAAATTGACCATTGGAAGTGTAAAACAAAAACAAACAAAAAGTCAAAAAGAAATATTTAAATATATACAAAGTGATAATAATAATAAAACTTAATAAAAAATACATTTCCAAGACCAAATTGACTTTAAAATTATAGCAGATATCTCACAGTGTCACTCAAAATATCAGCACATTCTAAAGAGGGATTTCAAAATGAAAGCCCTTTAAGAGGGTCATATACATTCTTGTTTTATATTGCGCTTGTATGATCACACACACACATCAGAAGGGTTAACCCAATGTTTCCCATACATTGATTTATTTGTGGCGGGCCGGGGTATTGCACTGTTGACAAAATAAAAAGGAATTTATTTATAAGTTGCTCAGCCCTAATATACGTGCATGCATGTGCTTACCAGTTCTTTCTGAATGGCCAAGATGCGAGTCCGTGCAACCTCACAGTTTGCCTTCTTGCCCGTGATGACGATCATCTCTGAGTTGCTGTTCTCAGCTGGCAGGTCAATCTTTGTGTTAGTTTCCTCTCTAATCTAGAAAACAAAACATTGTTAAAGAGCAACTTCCAGGTTAAAGACACCTGTGAATAAATGTGTAGGAAAATGATGAATACAAAAAAAAATATACAGAAATATACACTACAGTGACATCTGGCGTCGTTTTTGTAAGAAATGTTCACTTCCGCATAAAAAAGCCTCGGCACGTGACCTCCCGCGTGTGACGTAACACGGGGGACACAAGGGGGAGAGCGGCCGGTGTAACGTATTAATAAACATGGATCCCAATGCTAGTTTCGACACAGAAGAAGTTGAACATGAATATTCGAATGCATATGACGGACCACAACCTTATAATTATTAGCCTGCTAGGCGTCCAAGCGACCAGGAGCAGCCAAGGATTAGAAGAAATAACGGCCATCGGAGAGAAATTGAGCTGTGGTGTGAGGAGAACCAGTGGAGAACTGGGCAGCTATCTTGGTGAGTGACCGGCGTTAGCTACAGAAGGTTAGCTAACGTCACATCACAACATTGTAAAGTTAGCTATCATATATCAGGCTATAACTAAAGTAGCATTGATAATATAGTAACGTTACTGGCAGGACTGTTGATACTGATCCATAACAGAAACTAATGCGCAAGTATCAGCCGTATCTCGCGTTACGTAATGCAAATCCACACCATGTTACGGTGCTGTACCGGAGGGGAGAGAGAGGGCAGCGAAGGGGGGGAACAAGATGTAATACGGTTTCCTGATAAACGTTACCTAATACAACTCCACACTACCTTCTGAGCTTTACCGGAGGGGAGAGAGAGAGCAGGGAAGGGGCAGCTATCTTGGTGAGTGATCGGCGTTAGCTACAGAATGTTAGCTAACGTCACATCACAACGTTGTAAAGTTAGCTATCATATATCAGGCTATAAACTATATAACTAAACCTGCACAAACACAATACTGCACCATGATTACAAATGGTGAAATACAATGTAAAACTACCGAAAAATACCAGCTCACTAAAACACAACCGCTCAACTCAACGCAACTATTAACTATACCCGCGGTCAGAGAGCGGAGATGTTTCCCCTTTGTTATGTAATATGACGCGTTTGACGTATGACCTTAAAAAAAAGCAGTTTTTTAAGAGCAGAGCTCAAAATTGCTCCTTTCCCTCTGAATTCCTGCCCTTATGTCTCGTAAAACATATCAAATCCTACACTGACTTTTTTAATTGTAATTTTCAAGCAAGTTTAAGCATAAATGTAGAAAAAAAAAACCTGCAAGACGCTCTTTAAGTTAGACATGGAGACCCTGAAGACCTAATTCAACTTCATACATTCTCTTTAAAACATATAGAGTACCTTCTTGATATTTGATCCTCCTTTTCCAATTATGTTTCTGTGGAACTGCTTGAAGATGGGGACTGAGAGAGAAAAGCCGTTCTCCACCTGACAAAAGGAATCACTGAGAGTTAACACACAACTGCACTTAGGTAGTAATAGTTGCCTTTAAAATACAATATTAATCGAATAAGATCTTTGTAACGATTTACCATCTCAGCCACTATCTTCTGCATGAACTTTGCACATTTTTCCACCTCATTTCGGGGGCCCCTCAGTTGAACGATGTCACTTTTCTGTGCTGGGTCGGGGAAATTGATGATGACCTGGAATAAATATTATTATTGAGTTTCATAAGTTACAAATAATATTTTGGGCACAGAAAAACTAACACGAACTGCAAACAACTCACCTCAGGGAATTTGTCGCGCACTTCTTTAATATTTTCCCCTTTTTGGCCAATGATGGCTCGATGAAAACGCTGTTCAATGATCAGGTCCTTTGTACGCTCGTTTTCCTGTGAGAGACAGCAGGTTTAGTAACTGCACAGCCAGGGTCTGTCTGTCTATATATCACTCTTTGTTAATATCGCTAGCTGATTGTATGTTTTGATCATGACAACTCTGTAACCTTTTTAAAGATGTGTTTATACAAGTGGTTGTGTAGATGAACAACATTGAAAGTCATGCATTTTTCAATGAGTATTTTCAAATTCAAGCATATATTCAACCTTTAAAACATTGACTAGGCTTATTCCAAACTTTAAAGATAACCCCAGCACATCAGGATACAATTGGCAGCCTCTTGCCTGCGAACCCAAGTTTGTCTCACCATGCGAGACGCCAGCTCAAGCAGCTCCTTCTTGGCTTCCTGGACACCCTGGGGATCCCCCTCAATACGGATCAGGTTGCTTTTCTCGTTGTCAGGGGGGATGCGGACAGTCACCTTGTGCAGTTCTTTGATGCGGTTGACTATGAATAATAAGAATAAAACCAGATTTGAGGATGTTGATCCAATTTGTGTTGTATTTATTTGTATACACCATGCTTTTGACAGTAAGACTATACTTACTGTTGACACCTCCTTTTCCAATCAGGTGTCTGTGGAATTTGGTATCCACGCTGATCTCGGTGTAGTCCATACGGCTTACCTTTTAGGTGAAAGTAGAATAAATGCATACAAATGACTAGCTTGCAGGGCTCAAAGTAACGGTTGCCAGGTTGCCATTGGCAACCATTCAGAAAAAATGTCAACCACTTCTTGGCCTTTGGTTGCCATCAGTGGCAACCACTTTTTAACATGAAGAAATAAGGACAGCAAACAGCTAAATGTGTTCCCCAAAATAGATAAATGTTAATTATTTGTTGTATTAAGAGCAGTGGCGAGCCGTGACTTTTATACCTAGGCCCTCTGATCCCCACCCCTTCCCTCGAGTTATTACGTCACAGCGTATACTTCAGCGGAATATCAAAACAACGGCCCGGGGGTGCAAAACGCATCAATGAAAGCGACCCTCTACCACACAAAACAACACCTGTAAATAACCCTATTNAAAAATCCATAGATTAGCCGCACCGTTATATAAACCGCAGCGTCGAAAAATAGGGAAAAAGGCGCGGCTTATAGTCCGAAAATTACGGTAACTCAAACACGTCATGGTAAAATTATTTTTTACGCGCGGCTCTCATGTCGGGGTGCTGGAGTGAGTGACAGCAAACCACCAATCACAACCATTCTTGA